CAATATGGTTCATGGGGTCACGAAGAGTCGGACACGACTTAACGACTAAACCACAACAATTCAAAGGGGTTAAAGATCACGATCCTTAAAAGTAAACAGGAAGGATACAAAGTTGATTTATTTGATCAAGGTTTGAATATATATGTTGTTTCTGCTAGCTCTTAATGGACTTTTTCTGACTAGCACTGGATGACAAGGCTTTAAAGATTTGTTTATAGACAAGAGATACGGGAATAAATTTTTGCTGCATTTTTAGAGAAAGTGATAATGTTTAAAGTAAAGGAATATAAAACTGATTGATTTGATTAAGGTTAAGATATATATGTTATGTCTTGTAACTCTTAATGGACTTTTGCTGATTAGGTGAAACTATAATTTGTTTGATGAAGCTTTATCATTTGTTTATTGATAAGAGATATGGGAAGAATATATATTTTTCATTGAAATATCAGAGAAGATGTTAAGTTACTGAAGTTCTTTATACTCGTCTGGAGGGAGAGAGAAGTCTTCTCTTTTTCCCCTGCATTTTTTTCTTTTTGTATTTTTCTTAATTTGTATTAGTTTTTTATCTTTGTATTTGTAAACTTCAATAAAAATTATTATATAAAAAAACCCTGCTCAGCGACCGTCATGATTAATGAGACGGCTGGCAGAGCGTAAAGATGTAAATCCATTGGGGGGGGTGTTCCATCATACCGTCCAGGCCCCCGGAGACCCCTTGCCGTGGAGCCCCACCCCTGCTCACTACAGAAATCCCAATTAAGGCATCCCAACTTCCAGCAAAGGGGAGCCCAGCACATCCCCGGGCAAGGGGATCCGCTGGCAATATCCTTGTACTGTTAGGAAAGGTGATTTTCTCTTCATCCCAATTCCGCCGTCCTGGAATTTAAATCCGTGGTTCTGTGCGACGAGAGAGACAGTCTTGACCTGCTTCCTATCTTGTGGCTCCGAAGGCATCAGGAGTATTTCAATTTATTGGGTCTCTGTGTGCAAAAACAACATCAGCAAGCCGCTGGGTTCGGACGAAAGCTTATTCCTTGCAGCTTCCAGCAGAGGGAAGCCGTGATTCACCCAGCCAGGCTGTTTTCCTAGTTCTTGCAGATGTTTTCTCGGGGACGAGCGACCCTGGGGTCTACGGTTTCAGCAGTGTGGGCTCGCAGGACGGGCAGAGCAACTACAGGGACCCGTGGCCCCTCGCTGGATGCCCACAGAGCCCAAATTAAAGTACTTTGTAAAACTGATGGCTGAGACCTCTCAGGAGATCACCAGATGTTTGCACAGAATGGCTGAGATCTCATGGTCAAGTCTAGTTTCATTTCTAGCTTGGCTTCACGAGATTACACGGGTGCCTTCCGGGGCCATCCGTGGAGAGGGGTCCAAAAAGTCAAGGTGGCGGCTAACTCCTGCACTAAAGCCTAACGTGGCCTGTTTGGATCCTTGCCTGAAGTCATCGGGTTTGGCTTCCGTTTACACAACCTGTGGACCCAGCCATTCTTGACGGTAAGCCTTAGTTTACCTATGAACCTGTATGAATATGGCCCTAACACATTGTGACTGATTCGGTAATGATGGTGAAATATATTGTGACTTAGCAACCTTTCGTGAGCCGAGTGGTAGTTTGGTTTTTATTTCAGCTAACGGTTTCAGGTTAGGTTAAATTAGCATATTAAGTTTTAAGCCTTTCTCATCCCCGTTGCCAGCTTCTCTTCCCCTGTCATGATTCAACTTGTTTTTCGGCTTCTGCTGGAGAACTTCGTGCTGCTGCAAATCGCTTGGGGAAATGGAAAAAGAGGGCTGCTAAGAAGGATGGATTGCTTTGCCAGGGTGCGCTATTTTAAGACAATTTGGATTGTAATGGGCGCAATTGTAATGCAGCATACACAGTCTCGGCTCCTAAATATTTTGTCAGAGCCATTCGTGAGCAACTATTAAATATTTTCCATGTTTTTTTTTTAATTTTTATAAAGCTTGCACAACAGCACAGGTGTAGTTATTACCGGTGTTGGTTAATCTAGTTATACAGCCGGACCCGGGTTGGTTGATTTTGAAGTTAAGCAGGTTTTGACTGGATTATTTGGAGGGGTGGCCGCTAGGAGATCCCAGGACTGTAGGCTAGACTGAAATTAAAAACATAGCTGAAGAAGGCAGTGGCAAACTCCATCCGTGCTCCAGTCAATAAAACTTCATGAATGCGGCTGAAGTTTGAAATCGACATTACCTTCCCTGCAAAAGTGGCTAATCAATCTGGGCTCAGAACTTAAGTAGAACTCTTGGATGGGGGACCACTAGGAAATCTCCCTGCTATAGGTTAGCTGGGAAGTCAAAAGAGACCCAAAACGAGTTAGTGGCAAACCACTTCCTTGTTGCTGTCAAGAAGACCACAGGGACATCTGGATGGACGTCACCAGGAATGGAGCTGGACGTGAAGGAGACTTGAGTTGTTCCATCGCTTCTGACTCTGTGGCTTGAAGGAGCTCGTTGCCACAGGACGGTCTGTCAATCCCTCTTGCTCTGAGTGCTTCCAAGCTCAGGTGGATTGATCGATAAACACTGACTTAACATCCAAAGTAAAATTAACTTCCCCCCAGCGTCCCAAACTCCCTATATTTTCCCCTCCAGCCCCACTGCTGGGCAGAGCAGAGCAGAGCAGGCAGAATAGCTGGGTTCCCAGGACAGCCGACGCTTACTCCGGCAATGGTGTAAATATGGGGAGAACGAGGTCCGTTCAATACCGAGAGACGTGCTTGCAAGGTTGGACAAGGTGACCTCTAAGATACCTTCTAATTGATTCTGTGAATGTAAAGACCCAGGACTGGACTTTTTAAAAACTCTACCTTTGCCACCACAATGACCCCCTAGGCAAGTATTTCTCAACCTTGGCGAGTTTAAGAGGGGTGGACTTCAACTCCCA